GCACATATCTTTATTTAAGTTCTACAGTAGATACTTTCTAGATATATATATATTAAAATAACAGGTTTTGTTATAGCAATAAATATAGTTTTATTCGTAGTACCAGTATGTAAAAAAAATAAGTTAAAGCAATATCTAATTATATAGAGACTGTACTAAAACAGGTATTATTGGGTTTTTGACGGGTCTATTTATAAAGCCCGGACCCGGCCCGGTATTTTATATACTCGGTTCAGACCCGGCCCAGTATTTTTTTAGCCCAGCCCGAACCTGGCCCGGTATTTTTTAGCCCAGCCCAAACCCGACTCAATCAATTTACAGGTCTAAAATTTAGGCCCAGACCCGACCCGACCTAGCCCGACCTGCAAATTTGTGGGTCTAACCCGGCCCATTTCAGACCCTAGTTTGGTTGTCAATTAGAAGTCAAAAAAGATTTGATATTTACAAAACAAAAAGTGAGGCTAGAAAATTTGCAGGCCTTCTCAAATACAAACAAATATTTCTGAGTCAAATTATATACATAAACAATGCAGTCCTTATATCTATGTTGGAGTACAGACTTATGATATCATATCTAAATAAAGCACAATGTGAAAGAATATACTAACCAATGATCTGACTAACTAAATAGAAAACGTCAATACCTTTCACAACAGCTAATATAATAACAAAGAATCCAGAGATTATAAACCTTAAAAGTCTCTGGAACAGACATATGAAACATCATATTTCAGAACTTATGGTGAGATTAAATATATCAGGATTGCTAGAAGAATCAATGATGAAAAGACTCAAGCAAGATCAGTTAAAATTAGGCTCAACCAGATGCATCTTAACAAATCAAAGAGCATTAGAGGAGAAGGAAATAAAAAGTTATAATTTAGAGATAGATATTTTACAAAAAGCCAAAAAACTTGGGGTTTTTGATTTAAAAAAATGAGATTACAAAGAGCTAAAACCTTGATATAATACAAGCAACAGGTGATATCAAGATTGTAGAAGTTCTCAAAAGAGTAGGTCTAAAGTACAAAAAATCAAAAGCAAGTAATATAGAACTAATGCTAACATCACAACTCATTTCAAGAGATGGTAAAACCAGTATTGGCATAAATGGAATTTGGACAATAGAAATCTGTCTGATGTCTATTGTTCTAATATCTAATCAAAAGCAATAGACATAGGATTGGACACAGAAGATAACTTTCTTGTCATTTTTAATCACATGATATTAAATTGCTTCGTGTGATTGGTCATTTAGTTCAACACATGTCGATTAACCAATAGAATTGCATTTGTAATCATTGAAATTTTAGTAATCAGAAAAATAAGAGTTTCTTATATCCACTTTTATTTATTAGACGTTTGTGTTATGAAGCTTTATAAATGAAGTTACACTTTTATTAATAAACTAACTCTTTTTCAGCGAAATAATCATGCACATATGCTGATTATATGATAGTTCTTGAGTTAGTTTCCAAGTTATATATTCATAATCTTAAAATTTTATTAAATACGTACGTACATATGTACGTACGATAATACATATAAGGCGCAATTTTTTTTAATAATTATTATGTATTACAATTAATTAAATAGTAAGGAATGGCATGTTCGATTCATAGATGTTCAAGTTTAGAAATATTTCATATGAAAGTTGTAAACTTTACACATATGCATATATTATGCATAATTATTATAGCAATATGTAGTACTAAAAATTTTTACATATTTATATATTGTTTAAATTTGAGTAATATAAAAAACATATAATATAGTTTCATCCTATTCAAATGCTCCACCCGTTTCACTACAAATTTTTTTCATCCTATTCAAATGCTCTACCCATTCACTACAAAATTTTATACTATATCAATAAAAAGTAAATGCATAATTCAAATATTTTCAAAGGGAAAAGACAAATTAGATAAAAACAAATTTTGCAATTCCCACTTCGCTGCTTGATTTTCAGCAGGGTGTATTTCTGAATTAAAGAAATTAGTATCAGCATCGTCTAAATTATCCTGTTCTTCTTCGAATTCTTCTTTGATTAATAGCTCTTCCTATTTATTGATGACATCATCCCAATCAGCTTCTGAAGAAGTATTCTCATTTTTGTTATCATCAGCATCAGTTTCTTCAAAAGTTGAAGTGATAGAAGCAGGATTGATAGAAAAGAAAAAATGATGTGATTGAATATGAAGAAAGTTGGATTTTTTTTATGAGTTCGTAAGATTTTTGCACAAAGCTAACTCATTGCGATTACTTTTTCAGGCTATTAATAAAAAAAAAGTCAATATAAAAAAAAAAAATTTATAACAAAGTAAAACTTACTTTTAATTTATTTTGTAATAAAGAGTGCAAATAACCCATAGTAGAAAAAAGTTTTTTTACTGAGGCTGTTGTAACACATATGCCAAATAATTGACATGCGATATGACTCAATTCTGGTGCAATACCAGAATTGTAAGACTACCAAAGAACAATATCACCTTTAAATTGGCTAAATATGTTCTCAATAAAAGTATACTTTTGCTGCTTGTAAAGCTCAAGTTTGTGAAGTAAATGATTTGGGTCAGTACAAAACCAAGCCTTATAGTAATATGATAACTATGCACCCATATGGGTAAAGTTAATATATAATTGTGTTTAATCAAAATAATTTAGCCGATATAAAGAGTGAAGAATGAATAAGAGAAGGAGTAGTGGTTGTTCCCAAGTAGCCCATCTCTTTTCAAGTCTTTCAATCATTTTAATTTAAAATTGTGATACTTCAAGTTCTTTAAATATTTGCATAATAAAGCCGAAAGAATGTAAAACATTATGAAGATGGGCCTTGTCATGTTGCATAAGGTCAAGAGCTTTACAAAATGGATAAAGCATATTATATAATATAACAAGTGATTCCCAAAAAGAATCACAATTAACAGTAACTTTAATATTAGAAAGTCTCAAATTATTATCTAAAGCTGTATTGTCTTTAGTTACAAGGGTCTACAAATTTTTTTTAGTAAAACACTATAAATTCGAATTTTTGAATAAAAAATTAAAATCTAAAATTCAATTTTAAATATACCTTTAACAGATGTTTGCTTTTAAGAATGCTATCAAAGCATTTATAATAGCTATTTCATCTTGTTGTACTTGGCATAGCGAAATTAATATATTTTTTTAAAATATCTTTTTGTTCATCATGAAGTTTGGCAATAAAATATACAGAGCGATGAAAAAAGGTAACAATACGAATTGCATGTTTATTTGTATTTTTAGCATGTCAAAAATGTGTGCCAGGTTTGTGGCATAGTTCGATTTTTCATGTGATGATTGACACTAAATTAACCAATTCGTACGTACTAATAAATCGAATACACTGTATATATATGAAGTAACCTTATACACTTTTTACACATATATACGTATGTAAATACATACGTACATATATACTTTAGTAAATATTATTTTTGAGATGTTTTATATATATTATATATATTGCTTTAACATTAATATTTTTGCTATCTTTAATAGTATGTTGTCTTATTTATTTCTTAAAGCGTTTAATTTTATTTGATACTTTAATTTCTGTGTAATTTCTCAAGTAACGCATATTAGAATTGCATTATAATTAACTATCTTCAATAGTTGTGATAGTATATAAACGCCTTGTGTTAATTTTCAAAGCAACCAACCCATATTCGCCCTTATATATTTCAAAGTATCTTCAACTAATTTTTTTTCTTTTTTTCTTTTTTCTATTTTTTTTTGCTTTTTATTCTATTTTTTTTTTTTTTTTTTTTTGCAATAATAGTCATTAAGGCCTTTTAATTTTGCTTATTTTTCAATATGTTTGTGTGTAAATTATGTTCTTTTTTTTTATTGTTTCTTTTTTTCCGGCTAGGAATAACTTGCAGATCATAATTTCCTTATTTTTAAGTGTTGCTGGCAACTTTCGCTTACACCCTGACCCTTCTGTTTTGCGTCATTTGACAGATTCAACCTGAACTCAAATCATAGAACCACTTTTGATATGAGATATAGGATCAGCACTATCATTAAGATCATAAAGAAAAGAGGTTAATCGAGGAATCGACTGGCTCTTTGCTGCTCAATAACATTCTATAAATTTATTTAATGCATTACAGAATTGAGAAGTAGCATTTTGATAATCTTCTTTGATTTTATTCAAAAAATCATCGAATGCAATAACATCAGTTTCTTCAAACTCACTATTATTATTTGAAATTTCATTAGTTTTATTTATACTATTATTAGACGTTCTCAATTTTTCATGAAAATCTTCATGATATTGTGAAACGAATTTTCCATTAAGTGATGCATAAAAAGAGCTTTCTCTTGTAGTGTAACCGAGTGCAACATATCCATATAGCATACGATCATCAGGTGTTAAAGAGGGCAAAAAGTTAAATATAGAAATATTAAATTTCACCACAATAGCACCCTAGTGCTTACAAGGTACACCTGATATACCAACAGAGCAGGTACACGTTCCAATTTCACTATTTATAGTATAAATAATACTGCTATCCTGATTTGTGCTAGGTACTAGAAATTCATTGTGCATATTTAATCTTTGTATACAATCTGCATTAACTGTTTCCCAACCTGGGCAAAAAAACCATTTTGCAATTTGTAAAGACCCGGGATGGTTATGTGAAAAATTAAGCAATTGTTGTTCATAAAACCTTTCCATATTTTCAGTTATAAATTGAAACACCTGTACTACATTATAAGCACGTGTTCTTGCAAATATTATATCTTTCAATGTACAAAAAACTCGTTCAACATAGTTATTAGTATTGTTTCCACGTATGAGTATTCCTAAATAAAAAGACATTGCCTAAAAGTTGCGCCTCTCCTATAGATGCTCAAAATGTCTTTGTAACAAAGGATATGGACCATAAAAATATTGCTTTAACTCAGAATAATGCAAATTTATTTCAGAAACAGATAGTGTATAAAGTATTTTTTCATTTTTTGCATAATAACTATTCGATCTTTTTTATTAATATGATGCTTTGCATTATACAACCATCTCCAAAAAGCTTGTAAGATATGAAATACACATAAAAAACACATTCCTTTTGGCTAGCCAAATTCCAGAGCATTGCGTTCTGCACTTGAATCGTCAGTAATAAAAACATTTGGCCTAATTTGAGGACCATTCCCAAAGAAAGCATAAGAAGGAAGAATTGTTTTTAATAATTCTATAGCTCTTTTTAATGCAATTTTCATTTTATTAGAAGTAATAAATAGACCCAATGGAAGTGCACCAACTGCACAACTAGTATAAAAGATTATTATTGAAGTATTTAGAGATTCAAATAAAGAGAATGCATCGACATAGTACAATTCACCTGCTTATAAGATTTTTTCATATACCTGTGACATTAAACTGGTTACAATACAGAGTATAAACTCTTTTCCATCATGTTCATTATACTTTTGCAAAACTGCCTTGCCTTTATATGAACTATTGTAATTATCCACTAGTTTTTCTAACCGTTCAAACATTAACTTTCCATTTGGGCTACCTAATGTATTACTACAATATTCTTGAAAAAGTTTTTTGACATAATCATAATCAGGGTTGTGAGCCCGATCTGCTAATAGTTCTAACAATTCTTGATCATTTTTAGTACTCAAATGAAGCTCATCTGTATAAGCATACAATGCTGATACAGGTGAATGACTATCTTTAAACAACTTCAAGTATTTTTCACGCACTTCATTTGTTATACGATGAAAACTTAGTAATGCTGCCGAATTAATTCATATGGGCTAATTATTCTCATTTCATATAAGTAAAATTGTGTGACATTTACAAATTTGATCTGCATCGTACTAC